CCCCAAAACCCCAAAACCCCAAAACCCCAAAACCCCAAAACCCCAAAACCCCAAAACCCCATGTCTCTCAGAATGAATTGAAAATAACTTAAAGAAACTTATTCATATAAATAAACGTATTAAATATGAAAGTAGGCCCAAAGGTCAGTGACCTCGAAGTCTCTACGATGAGACTTCAGGACAAAGAGAATATCCATGACTCTGTTGACAATATGATAGTAGTCAAACTTCCTTGCAGGCACAAGGAATTCGAAGAAGTCTTATCAAAAATCATAGTAGATCAGATGGATAACTACAGTTTGCCGAAGTGTCCAATTTGTTCTAAAGAAATATCTGAGGACACTATAATCTCTAATGATATACTTTGTACCTCTGATTTTGAGAGATATGTACGACTGAAGAAATATCTTGCAGCACTCAAAGATCCTGATTGACAAGTATGACCAAAGGCTGAATGTAAGTCCAAAGCTTATGTTGGTGATATGTCTACCCTAGAGATTAAAAATGGGTATTATAAGCCCAGAATCGTCCAATGTGAAGAAGGTCATAACTTCTGAGCTATTTGCAATTATAATCACCCAGTTGAAATTTCTTGTCACGAAGCTAAACCTTGAACTCGGTTTTATGATGAACCTTTAACATTAAGGTGTTCAAACTGTAAGCTTATAATACAGGACTGGTTGATTCATGGACCTTATAACTTAAACTGATTTTCTTGAGCTAGTAAAATACATACGCCAGATATGATAATGATCAGCCCGCTTGGATACTTGCTTCTTTATTTGTTATTACCAGTCTTATATCCATATATAATTCTTAAAGTAAGCTAGTACTTTAATATTATAGTTCTTTGTCTGCAAGAATGATAGGAATCCCTTATGAGGGTTTAAAAGAGTTCGACCAGGAGCTAAAGAGAGTCAAGAGTGGTCATTGGAATGCTTACTTGTTGTCACTATAGGGTTAATATTTTGTATGATTCTTATGTTTATCATCTTCTGGGTAGCCATGCCGATCATCCCAATTGCTTACTGAGCGCTGGTTTTTAACTATTGAAAACAACAGACAGTTGCTGAAAAATTGAGGAAGGATTTTTACTCATAATTCCTTAATAATATTTTTTACTCTTTCAACTAAACTAGAGTAATCTGGGGTTTTGGGGTTTTGGGGTTTTGGGG